CTTCTGTGATTGTCTGAACTAATAAAAGATTGGGATCAAGTTTCCAAAAATATGTTGACTTGTTTTGTTCGCCCATCTCTAACGTAGTTTCGGTCCATGCATGGTCTGACCATATTCTTTGACCAATGTTAGCATCAATTAAATGGTTGGTTAGATTAGACGTTACTAGTAACATGTCAATCCTTGAGTGTGATCTAAATCTGGGTGAATAGTACGTAAAATCTCGTGTTGAAGGATTCATTGTTCGCCACGTGTCTATAAGATTATGGCGTGTCAAAATCGAAGCTAATTCAGAAGAGTGATCAATCCTTGAGTGTGATCTAAATCTGGGTGAATAGTACGTAAAGTCTCGTGTTGAAGGATTCATCGTTCGCCACGTGTCTATAAGATCGTGGCGTGTCAAAATCGAGGCTAATTCAGAAGAATGGCCATTCACATCCGTTTTGGTTTTAATGGTCTTGTTTGTTATCTTAGGGTGAGATCTATCCAATACATGGTTGGTCACGTAATTGAAATCTCCGCCAATCACACATGGATGTGGGCTGAAAGTTTCAAGTTCGTTAAGAGTATTACGAATAAATTCCAATTAGCCTTCATTAGGTGAATATAGGGAGAAGAGTGTGGTGTACGAGCCGTTTAACATGCCAGTTACAAAAGAAAACGACCACGAGGGTCTTTAGCGATTTTGTCCACTTGAAATCTAGTGTTAGCATTTATCAAAATTGCCACGCCACGTGATTTGGACGACCCTTGGGCGTGAAATTGCTGAGACAATTTATGCGATGGAAGCACTTTGTCTATGTTGCCCTTGAGGTGCGTTTCTTGAAGGAAGATGACCGCTGGGTTTTGTTTTAAAAGGGCTGCTGTAATTCTGCGTTTCTTAATTGGTGAGTTAATCCCTCTACAGTTGAGGGAGATGAATTTGGTTTGTGTACTAGGCATCTTGAGGGCTGGAGCAATTGCCTAAACTAAAATCAATTACTACAGATACTAAGTCCGATATCTTAGTGTTGTGATGCGCGAACCAAAAACTAGAGAAACAAACATAATTAAGAAACCAACTAGGTAACAACAAACTGGTAGAACCTAGAGCCGACTCTTGGGCTCTAACACCCTTTCCCAGAAGGGATTGAACCATATTAGATTCCAATAATTAAAATACAATAAGAAAAATATGGGGGTTCCCCTTATTTTTCCCCCTCTATGAGTAAATAGTTATGATAAAGATTAGACCAAGCCTAATGAAGAAACATTAGTTTAAACTTTTAACCAAAAATTATCCAACTTAATATAGCCATATTCAAGTCATATGATCACAGTGAAGCAAATAATGAATTATTTAGTGAGAATTTATACATACCACCTCCGTATAACATTTAAGAATAATAAGAGAATAAATTTTTTCTTTTTTTTTTCTTTTTCTCCTTTATAAGCTGTTTTTTTTAAAAAAAAATAAAAATTAAATCTCTCTTTTTTTTCTTTCTTTTTCTCTTTTTTTTTTAAGAAGGAAGAAAAAATTGAAATATAATAATTATCATGAAGATTCTTATTTGGTTTGATACATTAGTGATAACCACATAGAAACTAGCATATTAACATCATATGCATCTCTTGAGGGCATTTAAAAAAAAAAAAACACCAATGAAAAGAATTAAATACCAGTGCTGATCTGTGGCATGAAAAATGTTAACCTTAATAAAGATAGAGAAAAATTTCTTGTTTAAGTTATTATTATAAGTCCTTTAAATGGAGGTATGCAAGAAATAGTTAGAGTCCTATAACATATTGTGTTAATGATTCAGCGTCTGTTGACACCTTTGACAGTAACCAAAAAAGTTTTCTAACCTGGAGAAACTGCGGAAAGGAAAAAAGAACATATCAATCACTTACAACAGAGTATTGTATCAATAACATTAAGTTCCATCCGGAGTAGTCATTTGTGTGGGCTAAACTATTTGAAAAACAGATTTGTTATAAGGATTAAATAATCACAATTAGCTGAGCTGGAGGTCAGAAACTAGAAGTACCTGTCTCTGTTAACAGATATAACATCACAATTAACAAAATAGGGAGACAGGAGTATAGTATTTGTCTCAGCTGTAAGGAAAGTGTTAGTTCCTAAGTGCTTATTTCTTGCAATAATGTTCTTCAAATGATAAGGAACATACGGTTTTGTTATAAGTTCAATCGCAGTTCCATCCAGTCTGCTATCTGCTAGGAGATGACGGTGTGCTGCTAGGGTACGAAGTCCAACGGAGAAATTAAAAAGTGCATACAGCTGCTTTTAATAAGAATTCAAGTGACTCCAGTCACTTAGGTCAAGCGTTCTCGGAGGTTGGTGTTGAGTTGGTTCGCATTCCAAGCAGGCAGTTATAAGAAGAACATGGGAGATCCGATGTTAACATGTGGATTAAGGTAGCTTCAGTTTGCGATCCCTACGCTGCTTAAATGGTTGCCAGCGTTCCGTGGGGTTTACACGGTGGTCTCTGGATGATTCCGTTGGCTGTTCCGGGGGTAGTGGAAGCTGGAGGTCTTGAAGCAGCTTGATCCCGGAGTCGTAGTCAAAGGCGTTGAATTGGGTTCCCTCTTGAACGACTTGCAGCTTATAAAACGAGACCCATCTATAACGTATTTTGGCTTTGTTTAGAATCACAGTAATGGGCTTCAGTGTCTTTCTTCTGGATAGCGTTTCTGCGGACAAGTCCTGCATGACCAGAATTTTGGACTCTTCCATTGGCAAAAAACCTTTAGATCTTGCAGTGGAAAATATTTTGTTTTTGGTGCGAGTATCAGAGA